ATGAACACAATCAACACAATCCACACAATCATTTGACCATATCCTAGTTTGGTTCCTTCTGTTCTTTTAACTTTATGAGAACCAGACTCCCTCCTAAACCTCCCTCAGCAAGGAAATTAAAAACAGCACTTGATTAATAGCTCCCCTCTACACCTGATTAATGGCTTTCCTCTAGCTAAGTTGTTAACCATTTCATTAGAAGCTTGCTATTCATAATTATTTAAAAAGTAATTACATGCCCAAACCATATTTTGGGTATGTCCAGTTAAAGCTATTTTAAAAATTAACTTCACTCATTTCTTTTTACTTTTTGAATGTGCCTACCTGAAAACTTTGGCTTACATCTGTTGCGACCATTCCAGCTCCACTGGGCACTGCTGTGCAGAAGGTTGAGATTCTAAAAGTCTGAATATAAGATTCTAGATTTCATGAGTTCAAGATTTTAGCATCCTAGGATGCTGGATTTCCAATATATCCACATATACAGAGTCTAGGAATTAAAATGCATGCATTTTGAATATTGGATTCTTTTACTTTTTCTTTTTTTGGTGGGACTGGGGTTTGAACTTAGGACTTTGTGCTTGGAAAGTAGGTGCTCTACCACTTGAGCCACACCTTCGGTCCATTTTGCTCTGGTTATTTTGGAGATGGGATCTTGCCAGCTGTTTGCCTGGGCTGGCCTCCAACAAGAATCCTCACAGATCTCAGCCTCCCAAGTCACTAAAATTACAGGCTTGAACCAAAGGCACCCAGCTTGAATCTTGGATTCTTGGTTTTCTGGAACTCTGGGATTTTAGAATTGGGGGAGACTACCTGTGTAACCCTAAGAGTTGGGATTTGGGACCAGCAGTAGTGGCTTCTGTCCCCATCTCCCTGGCTCCCATTCCCCAGTCCACTTTCCCTTGGGGCCAGTTTGGGTCACTCATGGCTTGCGTCAGGGGACAGCTGTGAGTAACCAGTAGTCACTGATGAAGGCCACTCCACAGAAGAGCCTGGTGGGGTAGAAAAGGGCAGCCTGCGAAGGCTGCAAGTTGCAGGCTCATTCCTCAGCCCAGATGGTGTGGGTTTCTACACTGTTGTGCCCTGGAGTTAGTTGGAAGCAGAGGGGTCAGTGACCTGGGAGGGATGCTGGGATGTCCAGAGGCAGAGGCCAAAGTCTAAGGATGGGGGGAGTGGGGATGGACAGCTCACCTGCCAGGAGGGGCAGCAGAGCCCAGGTGAGTACCAGCTTCATGACCTCAGGGCATCTCGCTCAAGCCTGCACACTTGGCACCCTGGTCTTCTGTTTTGTAAGGGGTGCCATCTCTTTCCTCCTCCCCTGGAGCTGCCCCAGTGAATAATTAGGGTAGGAAAATGCATTGGGGAGGTGAAAGTTTTGGGGTGGATCAAGGTCCTCAGGAGAGGAGGAGGATGCAAGGGGCCTCCCCTATGGGGAAAGAAGGCAGTCCCAATAAAGGGTGGGGATGAGGGAAAGAAACAAGGGAGGGAGATAGAGTCAGAAGAGGAGGAAGGGGAGGAGAGAGAGATCAGAAAGACTGAGAGAAACCTAGAAAGAGGCAGAGGCTGCAGAGAGCTGCTGGGCCCACAGGACACTCTCTGCCCTGGGGAGATTGGGTTCCTTCCCACCAGCATGGAGGCCTGTCCTACAAGCTGAGAAATCTGCCCATCTGGATGAACCCACTCTTGCAAAACCTGCCCCTTCTCCACAGTCCCAACACCCCAAGACCCAGGTGTCAATTCACTGCAGGCCCCACCTGCCTGAGACCCAGCGCCCCACCCTCTTTCCTAATATCACCAGATCTGCCAATTCCCTAGAACATTTGCTGCAGTTACCCCTCCCCCTCTAGTGTTCTTGGGATCACATTGTCTTCCCTGCCCCTTCTTCCTCCCAGGTGGGCGCCTTGGAGAGCCAAGCTCAGATCTGACTCATCTCCATGTCCCTGGGATCAGCCAGTTCTAGGCAGGGCTGTCATGAGTCCTCAGGAGATGTCACTTGAATGAGTGAATGAGTTTCTCTATATCTTTCTTTTTCTGATGAACTCTTAGTCACCCTTCAAGACCCATCCTAAATGCCGCTCCACCAATGTGCTTTCCCTGATTTCTATGGACAGAGGTTAACTGGGCACTCACAATTCCTTCCAGCCTTGCTGCCCACAGACCTGCTTCTCAAGGTGATACTGCACACTCCTTGAATGTTCTCCCACCTGTTGTGTCATAGTTTGGAGGACAAGGTCTGGAACTAAACCATCTTTGTCCAAATCTCTCGCTGGAACCTATTAGGTGTATGTTAGGGCAAGTCACTGGACTTCTCTGTCACTGTGTCAGCCAGATAGCAATAATAGCCAGTATGTATGTAGCACTTATGAGCACCTGACAGAGCTCAGTGTCATGATACCTGCCTAGAATCCCAGCTACTCTGGAAGTAGAGGCAGAAGGATCTTAAATTCCAAGTCCATCTGGCCCAAATCCACAAGACTCTGTCTCCTAACAAAATACAGACAAAAACACATGTGACTCAAGTAGCAGTTTCCTTCCAGTGCTGAAGGACCTGGGTTCCATTCCTCAAACTACCAAAAAGACAACAAAAAATGCCTGAGACATGGTGTGTATACAATCAGTGAGGTATTCATCCCTTGGAGAGCCCTGCCTTCCTCAGAGGACACACCACCCATGGCCAGACAGGAAGACCTTGAGGCTGGGCACTGGGTACCCACTATGTGTTAAGCCCTATTCTCATTGTTACTTTCACTGACTGTCTCTTCTGTGGCCTGAACTTAGGTAAGCAGTTCATGTCTGTTAGCTTATTTAATTTTCATGACAATTTAATCAAGGAGGTACGTTTTACAGAGGGGGAAGTTCTGGTAGAAAGAACCTTCATGTATTTGGTTCAAGGTCACATATAAGTGATTCGAAATGTATTTTTTTCTTTAGCTGGTGAACTCCAACTTATCCTTTTAAACCCCACACAAATGTCCCTCCCCTGACTCCTTCAGGTAGAGCTTGGCCTCTCCATAGTGCATCTTGTATTTCTGTCTGTAATAGCACTTGCCAATTTGTGTTCCATGACCAAGATCAGTGTGTTGAGTGATTTCTGTGCCAGGCAAGTGCTTGGAGAACATATCGAGGGGCTGGTAGAGTGGCTCAAGTGGTAAAGTGCCTGCCTAGCAAGCAGTAAGGCCCTAAGTTCAGTCCCTAGTACCTTCAAAAACCCCCATAAAAACAGAGCAATGGGAGTGGTGACCAAAAGCTTGGTTCCTAGGGGAATCCCAGAATGACAAAAATGGAGTGGAGACCTGAATGACAAAAATACAAGGCTTGCCCATCTCCCCAACCTGATGAGCAGCTTCTTAAGGGTAAGGTTTGGTTAGCTTCAACTCCAGGGCCTGGTACAGGACAGGGCTCAGCCCGTAAAGGAAACAGTCGAGTTGCTTACAAACATGAGTTCAGTGTGCAAATTCTGCCACGTACTTGCTTCTGATGCTCTGGTGATGAGCTCAGGTGACACAGGGGACTGACATTTCCTGGATGTGCTAATGGGGCAGGAGGCTGGAGAGCCATCAGGAGGGAGCTGTAGCCAGACTTTGTGCTCAGAACTCAGACACCAACCTTCCCTGGACTCGGCTGGAGCAGGTGCCTTGAGCGTCAGCACTGTGTCACCCCACCTGGGACAGGGGCTGGTGTTTAACAGTTGCTCAATAAACTGACATGTGGCAAGAGACACAGAAACAACGTGTGCCTCGTGGAGGATTTCTTGTGCCCGGGTTTGGCTGATACAATGTTCGGCAAAGTCCAGGCTGAACAGAGACACTCAAACGCCTATTACAGTTTTGCCTTCTTCTGTGGACACACTCCCCCCTCCCCCCAGGGAGAAATACAGAGAATTTCAGAGAGAGTGGACACAGCCCTCATCCTGAGTTTTCAGGAGGAAAATCTCAAAGCCAATTAGTAACAAAATAAGCAAAAAATTTCCCAAAACCTCAGAGTGAGGCTTTTGACAACCTTGGCAGAGGAAGCTCAGCCTTCCTCTTCTGGAGGCAGGGATGGATATGGGGTGAGGACCCTTGTGTTCCAGGGGCCCCATGAAGGCTGAGAAGGTACAGGGTGACTAGAGCCCAGCCTGGCTTCTCCTGGAACAGAGGGAATGGTGTCAGGTGGACCCAGAAATGGGACCTAGTAGAGGGCTGGTGACTCATGTCTGTAATATTAGCTACTTGGGAGGCAGGGATCAGGAGGATGGAGGTTTGAAGCCAGCCAGGGAAAATAGTTCTGGAGACCCTATCTTAAAAATACCAGGACAAATGGTGCTTCTGGAGTAGCTCAAGTGCTAGAGCACCTACCTAGAAAGCCTGAGGCCCTGAGTTCAAACCCCAGTACTGCCAAAAAAAAAAAAAAGGAAAAAAAAAAAAGAAACGAGAAGTAGGAAGTTGTAAGTAGACACTTCCAGAGGCTTGGGAAGAGACTAAGGAACAGGATTTTTCCATCAGTCCAGGGGACAGGCTTGGTGGGTGGAATAATGGGTGGAATACAGGCCACCCTGTGCCCTTCTCCCCTGGAAAGAATTATGACAACAGTAATGTTTATTCAGTGCTCACCACTTACTGTATTCAGCCGTCCATGACAATTACTATAAAGATCCATGCACACATTACATCATCGTCTCCTCACAAACACATCTAAGAGGTAGGCACTTCCTTGTCCCATCTTGCAGGTGAGGAAACCAAGGCTCAGCCAGCATGCTTGGCTTGTCCCAGGTCACACAGCAGAGGGCGGTAGAGGAAGCCAGGTTGCAAGACTAACTTCTCTCAGAAACTGGGGGAACTGGTGGCTTTCCTGCCTTTCTTGAACAAATCTTTGCTGTCTCTTTCTGTACTTGGGCTCCAGTGTGAACAGAGAAGAAGAGTGGGTAGGGGGAGTGAGAGAGGAGAACAGGTGATCACAGGTGTGGGTGGGCAGCACACATTTCTCCCAGCCAGCAGAGAGGAAGGGTCTCAGTGTCCACGTTAGTTGGAGCGTATGATCTTTTCAATCCACGGAACTAGCTTACAGATTCGGGTGTAGACAGCTGGGTGCTTGGCCGAACCACAGGGATAAACGCCCCAGGAGAGGATCCCCTGTAGAGTTCCGTCACACACCAGAGGGCCACCTGAGTCACTCTGGGAGAGAGAGGAAAAGAGACTCAGTGAGAGGCAGTGATACGGGGTGGAAGGTGCAGTTGTTTTGAGGTGAAGATGAGGTTGGGTTGGGGTGGGAATTAGGTATGAGGTTGGGGTGTACTGGGTGGGTTAAGAGGTGAGAATGGAGACAAAGGGGGCTGTAGCTGGATCTTTGTGTTGTAGTTGGGACTGTGGCTCAGGGTAGTGGGAGATGGAGAAGGATCAGGAGATACATCTGGGTACCATCTTGATGGCTTGAGGATGGGAATGGGGTGGTCCACAGAGGTGGGGGTGGGGTTACGGAACAAAGTTGGGCAGAAGCAGGGCCATCTCCTTGCCATCATCGTCCTGTCCTCCCTCCCATGAGGGAAGCCAATCGCACCTGGCAAGGGTCCTGGCTCCTTTCCAGTCCTGCACAAATCATATTGCTGGTGACCACGCCAGGGTAGAAGACCTCACACTCTTTATAGGTCAGGAGAGTGACCTGGGAGCAGCTTAGGCCTCTGTTGTACTTCACTAAAGGGGACGTGGGGAGGAAACTCCAGGTAAAGCCCAGCCTCCCCCTCCTCCCTCAGACCCAGGGGTCCCGGCCCCAGCCCTCCTCCCTGAGCTAGAGGCCTCACATCCCCAGCTCTTGCCTTTTTTGGCAGTTGTGGTCCCCCAGCCAGCGACCTGACACACATCCCCGGGCTGGGCACAGCTGTATGGCAGCCGCAGCTTCTGCACGCGGGGCCCCAACACTGCGGGCCTGCCCAGTTTCAGCATCATGATGTCGTACTCATCAGTTCGCCGGGGCAGGAGGGGGCCCGAGCCTTGGCGGTACTTGGGGTGGATAACAGGGCGAGAAGCCAGGCGTAGCTGCTCCCCTTGGAGAAGCAGGAGGTGGTCGTCTCCAACTCGAGCCCACAGTGGCCTGGGACGGGAAAAACTGTCATGGAAACTGGGCCTGACTCTGAATCCAGGCACAGGAAGTGGAGGGGGTGGGAGGACACCTGTGTGGTGAATAGGAGGGGCCTAAAAGAAAGGGGATGGAACTGGGGATCCTGGGTCTCAGGGAGTAGCTGAATGGATAACAGAGCCGTGGACCTGGATTCCTGGACACGGGGAAGAGCTCCTGGGTTCTGTAGGAATTTGTGGCTGGGTTCTGGACTCTGGGGTGAGCCTATACCTTTCTTTCTGTCACTCAGCCCTTTCCCTCTTTGGGTGGGGACGCATGAAGAGAACATTTTCCTTTACTTCTAAGTTACTGACCACACCAGACTGCCTATTGTGTGTTGCATACAACTTCCAACTCCTAAATGAGACCATGGATAACCAGCAGGGCAGGTGTGATGGGCACAGAACACGGAGAAAGACCACACCTCCCCCTGCGGCCGCAGTCAAGATGACTGGCTTCTCCTACAGAAAGGCCTCCAGGACTAACCCCACCCGCAAGTGGGAGAGCCCCAAGTGCCTCAAGCCCTCCCTCTCCTCCTCGGGACTGCCTCCCATACCGCCCCCCCTTACTTGTTGTTCCAGCAGTGCGCGGCCGTGAGCACCCAGTTCTGGTCCACCAGGACGCCCGCGCAGTGGAACGAGAGGCCATTGAAGAGGGAGACATGCCAGGGCTGCGAGCCACGTGCGCACGGGGCGCCGGAGGCCGCAATGTCCAAGTCAGTCTCGTTCCCCGGGAGCAGCGCCTCCGCGACTGGGGGAAAAAGAGGTGTGGGCAAGGATTAGAGCGTGCAGGGCAGGGACTGAGCTTGGGATCAGAGCCCAGCCACAGGACGGAGCTACTCCAAGGTGCAGTTAGAATGGGAGGGAGCACTGAGGGAACCACTGTGGGCGGAGAAGGAAGGCGTGCGAGTGCCAGGAGGCGGGAATAGAGAGAGACAGGAGACAGACGGGGTGCATGGGTCTGGAGGGGCAGGGACAGAACATCGCGCATGGAGACGGCTCGAACACAGTGTGCCGACCACGGAGCCGAGCGAGTACAGTAGAGCGATATGGGGCGGAGCTAGAATCCTGAAAGGTAATAAGGGGCGGGGCTGCAGGGGGCGGAGCTAGAACGTGGGCGAGGGCGCTAAGGGGGCTGAGATAGAACCCTGCGGGTTAGTAACCAGGCGGAGACAGGACGCTTCGGGTAGCAAGGGGGCGGAGATGGAACCCGGCTGGGTAATAAGGTGGCAGTAACTAGAAAGCGGGGCTGGAGGGCCGTTGGCAAGGGGGCGGAGATAGAACGCGGCGGGGAGAAAAGGGGGCGGAGATAGAACGCGGCAAGACGGAAAGGGGGCGTGGCTAGAACAGGCATGCTTTAAGCAGGTGGGATTGAGCGCGGTGGGAGAGAAGGGGTGGGAGTAATCAAATGAGATTGGAAAGGGGGGTGAGCAAAAAGCGGTAGTGCAAGTGTTGGGATAAAATACGGCGGAGTAAGAAGGAGCAGGAGCAGAATGGAGGGCGAGGGGGAAGAATGTAGTGAGGCGGTAAGGGGACTAAGCGACTCAATGGGGCGGGTCACCCAGGGACAGAGCCCCATGGACACGTGGGTCGACCCTGCTCTGGAACGTTGGGTAGAGGCCAGGGTCCCAAGGGTGGGTGATAGATAGCTCACGCTCCCCTCCCGCGGTCCCTCCGCCTCCCGCCGCCCCCTGTCCCGCGTCTCACCCCAGAGTTGCGCCATCAGTAGCGGCAGCAATAGTGTTACCAGGGCCGGTGCGCCAGGGGCAGCGGAGAGGTGGAGGTGCAGGGGTCGTCTCATGGTTGGGACCTGGGCTGGGGGAAGGGGGAGACGCACTGGGTTAAAACAGATGTTCTGCCAGAGACCGCCTACCTCGCGGAGCCTTGTCTACCCAGCTTGGGCCATCCCAGCTCTCCGGAACCCATTTAACAGGCCGCCGACCACCTCAGGGGCAGGCGAGCGCGCGATTCTGACGAACAGCCATGAAGAGCGCAGTTTCCCTCTGGATGACACTAGTGGCTTCCTCCTGTCCTCCCTGCGCTTGAGGCTAGCGCTCTGCTGCGCGCCGGGGCTGTGCGGGTTGCCGCGCCAGGTTTCACCCTCCTTCCAGGAGGATGGGTGGGGTGTGTGTGTGGGGGGTCCCAGGCTCCGAGCCAGTGGGAGCCTTTTCCTAAATAATGCAGCTCAGGAACTTCTCGCTGATCGGGAAATCGAGGGTCTTGACCTGAGGGTCCCCACGCATCCTCGCGCCCTTCGCCCCAACCAGGGTGGAGTGCATCCCGCTTCACCTGGGAGCCGCCAATAGGAAGGAGGGAGGAAACCCAAAGGTGCTCCGGCCCTGCTGTGTGGAGGGGCCGCCAGAATCCTCTGCCTCGGGACCCCTGGCCTTACCTCCTTTTTAACCCTCAAGATCCCGGAAGCTTCCCCACCCTTCCCCCTGGGCATTTACTCCCTCCCTTTCCCTCTCCCTAATTATACCGTGGGTGGGGCTGGCAACCAACCTGGGCCCCAGATTCCTGGTGTGGGAGGGGCCCTGGAATACAGGCTTCTCCTAGTGCCCGAAACACCCTTTTGAGAGCGAGCTGGATTCCCTGGGAGATTCCCACCCCCCCCCACCGTCCCTATTTGAAGAAGTCTTCCCTGTGTGGGATGTGTGTGTGGGTACCATGTCTCCAGGGAGCCTGGGGTGGTGGGAAGATGGCTGATGGTGATAAGACAGGCAGGAAAAGAACTAAGAATTGCATACCTAGAGGGACAGTGAGAATGGCAGCATAGGAGAGGTGGGAGGGAGGCAGAGGGCTCAAGGTGATAGAAAGAAAGTGTGGGAGGGACAGGGACTAGCTCCCCAAGATCCACACTAAGCATATGACAAGCCAAGGCTAAGAGGGGGGCAGGGGAGGTGGCAGAGGGAGGCCAAGGCTAAGACATACAGAAACAGGAAGAGGGAGGCAGACACCCAGGGGAAAGGAGAAGGATCAGGTGTTCTGTGGCTTGAACACTGGGTTCCTCCTGTCTAGTGACTGTCCCCCATGCCTGCTGACAGGCTATGACTCTCCATCACACCCATGTGTGACCCTCTCACACCCTCCTTGCCATCTGCGTGTCTCCAGTGACACACAGGCCCATGAATCAACTCCCTCATTCTGGGTGAGGAATGAGAGGCTCAGAGAGGACATTGACTCACACAGGGTCACACAGCCCTAATTCTAGCTCTTCCTCCTTACGTCAGCTAAGAACCCTGAAAGGTTGAGCAGAACATCTGGACGATTCTCAAAGCATCTTGTTCATCCAGAATTGAATTTGACTTTGGAGGTGACCCAGCTCAGACTTCTCCCAGTTAGACTTTTTGCAGAGTAATGTCTGTATGAGCTCTTTTAATACAGTAGCCACCAGCCTGCACGCAGCTATGGAGCAGTTGAAATGTGTCAAATGTGACAGGGGAGTTCCATTTCTGATTTTAGGTAGTTTTGATCTAAATAGTCACATGGCACTGATGGCCACCATATTGATCAGCAAGGGTCAGTCAGGCCTACCAGGGAGGCTAGAAAATAATGAGAGCTCTCTGTCACCTTCCTTTTAGTCTTTGCCCTTTCATGCACTGGCTGTGTGACTGAATAACTTCATTTCTCTATGCCTCAGTTTCATCATCTATAAAAATGGGTCTAATAGGAATACTGACCTCCTAAGGTTTTGTAAGGATTAAGTTGGTTGACACATTGAAAAGTCCTTTCAACCACATTCTGGCCCATAGGAAGCACTCAATAGATTCATTCATTTAATATATTTTATTGAAACCTTGGTAGGTGCCAGGAACTGTCTTTGGGGCTGGGGAGAAAACAGTGAATAACATAGCGATGATCCTTCCTGTAGTCAAAACTTGGTCCAAGACAGGATTTGATTCCACGTCCCAAGATGAAAATAATCAGTTATAACACCTGCTGTAACCAAGGCAGCCCAAAGAAAGTACGTAAAAGATGTCCTGGCTTAGAGTTTGTGATGAGTGAAATGAACAGAAATGAAATCATTAAGAGCTTGGGGGACTCGGGTTGTGGTAAGCAGGTCTCGTCTAATTGCTGTTCATAGTCTCATGGATCCAGTCAACATATTTGCAGACTTTTGTATAGACACCAGGTTTTCTAGTGACTGCACAGGGATCCTGACCCCAGGAGATAATGCCTTGAAGAGACCCATCACAGACCAGAGGGCCTCCAGAGTCACCCTGGGCATGGGGAGAGAGGGAAAAGAGGAGCAGTCAGTGTAAAGGAGCAGGGACAGTGACAGAGGTGGGACACAGACAGAGGATGGGGCCGTTAATAGGTGGGGGTGATGAGGTTGGGATTACGGGTGGGGAAAAGGATGAGATTAGGCTCAGAATGAATTTGGAGATGGCTGGGGTGGGCGTAGGGCTGGGGCTGAGACTGTGATGTCAGGGAAGATGTGACCGATGTTGGGGAAGGGGATGGGGTGAGTTGGAGACCCAGGCCCTGTTGCTGACCTGGCAGGAGTCCTTGCCTTCTTTCTTAACGCTGGCGCAAAGCATGGTGTCTGTTATGTTGCCAGGGTAGGCGCTCTCACACTCCTTGTGTCCAATGATGGAGATGTTGGCACATCGTAAGGAGTGGGGCAGGTGCACTGTGGAGACAGATGAGAGGTGTGGGGGATGAGTTTTTTTTTTTTTTTTTTTGGTGAGACTGGGGTTTGAACTCAGGGCTTCATGCTTGCCCCTCCTCCAGTCCTTGTCTTTCTTTTTTTTTTTTTGCTTGTAGACTTCATCTCTCTGCTTGTAGCAATAGCAGTAATAGATTGAATAAATTTTTTTTTTTTTTTGGTGCTGGGACCTCATGCATGCTAGGCAAGTGCTCTACCACTGAGCTACACCCAGACCTTGAATAAATTGTTTATTCCAGTTGCTTTGTATACATGTTTCTCTCTAATCAACCCTGGAGGGCAGTTGTGGATATCCTCATTTTTTTTTTTTTGGCAGTACTGAGGTTTGAACTCAGAGCCTCATGCATGCTAGGCAGATGCTCTCTACTGCTTGAGTCACTTCGCCAGCCCTTTTTTTTGTGATGGATATTTTTTGAGATAGGGTCTCAAGAACTATTTTCCTGGCCTGGCTTCAAATCCTGATCCTCCTGATCTCTGCCAACTGAGTAGCTGGGATTACAGGCGTGAGCCATGGCACCTGGCTGTTTATCTTCATTGTGTAGAGGAAAACCGTGGTGTAGGAGGCCAAGCCATTTGCCTAAGATTCCACAAATAGCAAGTTACAATCTGAGATTCTACATCACATCTATCTGACTCTGCGGCCCAAATATTTCTTCAGCCCTGAATTTTCCATCTTTCTTTCACTTGATCCTACTTTTGACACCCCCAGGGAACCTATCCTGTGTCTCTCTGAATCTCATCTTTGAAGATTCCCCTCGTCTCCTGTGTCATTCCTTTACCACGACCACCCCTCCCAACCTCCCCACTCTCCCGCCATGTTTCCCTCTGGAACCCCTACACTGGGGGCTGGACGTAGTGCCCCAGCCGGAAATGAGGCAGCGGGTGCCAGCCGTGACACAGTGTGACGACAGGGTGAGGGGTCGCACGGCCCGGGTGATGAAGGCTGGTGAGGACATTTTCACCAGCATGATGTCATTGCGGTGGTCTTTGTTGGGGAGGCTGTTGTTGAAGCTGGGGTGGGGGAAGGACTTTGTGGCCGTCCGTGTCTGCTCACAGCCATCCCGCTTCTGAAGGTTGTGTTCGCCTAGGAGGACCAGGTAATGGCTGAGGTGGCAGAGATGTGGTCAGAGATGGAAAGGTGCAGGGACACGGGAAGGGGTGGGGAGGGAGAGATGATGAGTGACACCTTCAAGAACAAGGAGACACAGCCCCCAACTCCCTTGCAAGCTGCAGCCCCAGCCCCGTTCCAATTTCAGGGTCATCCAAGTCCTCCATCTTCATTCCCAACTACATCACCACCCCAATCTCTTGCCCTGCTTTTGCCAACCCCTATACCCCAAGCCCCTCTCCATCTCTCCATCTCCCGCCCCCTCCCAGCTCCGCCCCAGCCCCCGCACCTACGGCTTGCGGCAGTGGGCTGCTGTCAGGAGCCATTTGGGGGCGATGAGTGTTGCCCCACAGAGCAGCCGTGTCTTCTGGAATAGGGCCACCTGCCAGGGCTGGGAGTGAGGAGCACACTCGTATCCTTTGATGATCCTGGTCTCACCTTTTACATGTCCTGGAGGGGATGGGAGCACAGATGGGGTTAGGCATGAGAAGAGGTAGGCTTGGTAGGGGGAGGGGGAACTCCCAGAAATGAGAGTGGAGAGGGAAGAGAGAATAACTGCTCTGGACCTCAACATCACATCCCAGTGCGATGTGCCATATGGATGGATCAGACTAAGTGAAAGTCATCCTGGTTGGTCAGTAGTGGCTGACCTGAGGTCTTTGAGTGACCCATTCTCACCACTCAACTCCCTGATGGCCCCTCCTCTGGGACCCCTGGACTTCCTCTTATTCTAGCAGCTAAAGGGATTATGCCTGGTGTAGCCCAGGGCATCCAACACTCACACTGCTGGTCTCTATCATAACACCTTATGAATTGTTCTGTCAACATCCAGACACAGAGGAGTGGGGTGGGGTGGGGTATCCTACAGATTGGAGAGGGAGGACCCTGCCCTTCCCTCTCTGCCACCGTACCTGTCATCAGAGCAAGTGTGATGAATTGTAGTATCATTATGGTCTGGAGGGAGGCAGGGTAGGCCCCAGGTTCCTCTGAGAACAAGGAGGGAGACAGGGTCTAGTGGCTAAGGATCCATCTGCTCCAGCTCCCCTCTTCTTCCCACCCCTCAGGGAGAAATACGCTTTGGGAGAAGCCCCCCAGGTTCTCACAGCCTCCAAATCCTTAAGATAAATCTTAGGCTTTCAGAATGGCCTCGGAAGGGGCTGGATCCAGCTAGAAGCTTCCGGAATGTCAAGAAGGATGTCAAAGGTGCTGGGAGGGACTTGGTTGGGTAAGCCATGGACTGGCCCAGTTTTAAGTTCGCCATGGAGCCTCCTGGGCACATTTTGGAAAATGTTTTTCTTCTTGCCCACCTGAGACCTGGCCAGGATTCAATAGCTTGGGGTAGAGTGACAAGGTGGGAACGAGTTACTCATTCAGTAACCAACCCCTATGTGTTGTCCCAACAGAAGGGTGTTATGGAGCCTGAGAGGTCTTTTATCGGAGAAAGACCCCTGTGGGACAGTGTTCTGAACCCCCTCTCCTCCCTTTCACCTTGAGGAGCTCCTGGCTCTTTGAAAGACAGTCGGACAGAGCTGGGTGGGGCTGGCAAGGGGAGGATCAGTTCCCTTAGCTGCCCTGGCCAGCAGGGGTGGGAACAAAGGGTTGGACTTAGCCACCAGAGCTGGGATCGAAGGTCATTGAGGTTGGGGGCAGCCTGCTGAAGGTGAGAAATGCAGAAAAGCTCCTTGCCCAAGCCGAGAAGGACAGAGAAGAGAGAGAAGCAGGTGCCAATGGCATTAGGATGGCAAGCTTCTGGAGGGAGTTGTTCCTTCCCCTCCCTGACTCACAGACTCTGGAGCTGGGGTTCTAGGGGCCTGGCAGTGGCAGTTGCTGCAGCAGGCTGGACTGGAGCACCAGGGACCAGGTAGACAGGCAGGCAAGGGGTGGCCCCGGGCGGGACCAGGATGACTGGCTTCCAAACCCTGCCTTGTAGCCCTAGGGGTGGGGTGTTGGGGGGAACCCTCCCTGGGCCTTCCTCTGTCACCTCTCTGAGCCCCTCTTCTCCCCGTGCCTCTGTGTCCATCTGCCTGTTTGTGTGTACTCTTCTCTTTCCTGCCTGTCTGTCTGACCCTGTCTCCCTCATTCTCAGCAGTGCTGTGAATCTGAGTGTGATTTTTTTTCTCTTTCTGTCTCTAGGTTCCTGTCCATATGTCTTACTCTGTTTTTGTCCTTTCCTCAGTCCACCTCCCTTCTGTAATTCTTCCTGTCTTGGCATCTCTGTATGGCTTCACTCTGTCTAATACTTCCTTTCAATGTTCCTGTCTTTCGCCTCCTGCCCAGCCCCTTCCTTCTCAGAGCCCAGGCCCAGGGGGCCCCCTGGCCTCTTCTGGGCCTCTCCCTTCTCCTTGCCAAAGGTGGTGGTGGTGGTGGGGGGAAACTGGGGCGTCACAGAGGTGGGGCTGCTGTCAGGCAAAGGGGCAGGACAGGAGGGTGAGGGAGGCAGGTCAGGGCCTGCAAGAGCCAGGGCCAAGGGAAGGGAGAGGAACCCTCTCACAGCAGCCCCAGCCCCCCACCGCCACCCCCCACTGGGATTTCCTTTTTTTTACTGTCCTTTCTCTCTGTTCCCCAATCCCTACCTCCCAGGCCTGGATATCTGGGTCTGAATCCAGCTGTGACACTTACTTGATGCTGTGTGACCCCAGCCCGGTGCCTTCCAGTCCTCCAGCCACCTCAATTTCCTCATCCAGGAAATCTGAGTGAGGAGTGGATCCCCACTTCTCCTGGCTTGTTTGTTTTCAGTCAGATCTGTTCCTGGAGCCTTCTCCCCTGTCTCTAGTAACCAGATGTGGAACAAGGCGGGGTAAGGCCTAGGCTCTGACAGCAACCAACCCTGGCCTCAAACCCGGGTTCTGCCTCTTCCACTGTGACGTGGGATGAGGGACTCCACCCCGGTGAGGCTCAGTTTCTTCATCTGCAAGATGGGGGTGCCAGCCCTGCCTGGGGGTGGGGAGGGAGGTTGGGATGGAGACTACAGGAAAGTGCTGGAAAGAGCCAGCCCAGTGGGGCTAAGCACACTTTCCTGAGCTTTGGGCAATGGCCCTCTTTCCCTCCTATTCCCAGATTCCCTTCTTTGCATTTTGGGAAAGACTTCTTTCCCATCATGTCTCCTGGAGACATGATGGCGACAGATCTTGTAAGACCTGGGCAGTATCCTTGTGGCTTTCAAGGCTGCATCCCACCCTGCGCCATCAAGGACATATTGAAACAGACAGACAACCCACACTAACTATAGTTATTCTTTTTTTTTAATGGGGGGGGGACTGGGGTTTGAACTCAGGGCCTCACACTTGCAAGGCAGGCGCTCTCCCACTTGAATCACTCTGTGAGCCCTACACTAACACAGGACAGTCAAACTGCAATTGACTAGTGTGAAAAACATTGTTTTATAGACAGTTGGTGAAATGCTCATGAATTTTAATTTTGCAATTTTCATTTGGTAATTTGGAGCCAACAGTCTTCTTTTTCCCCCTTTCTGGTTCTTAGGTTATTTAAAAGCTTATATACTTTCGGTATGGTTTTCTGTCATGCCCACTGCAGAAAAATGTCCCTCAATTTTACTGGTGTAGTGTTTTTCTTCTACATTCAGAGAGGGATCATACTCTGAAGCCATAGTGAAGCCATGAGACCTCTCACAAATCTCAAACCATCCCAGGGACATCAGACAGACTCAGCCCCTTCACTTACATGACATTTATTCCAGACAGTGCATGTCCTCCTTCCCCAGACATGGGTCTCAGAAGGACTTGGAGTTTCAAACAGTTCCCCACACCAACAAGAGTGGGAACTGGGAGTGGTGAGGGAGGAGGTGTTGATTGCTCTGAGGGCCAAAGTGGCCCCCAAGTTGAGGTGCAGATGTGGAGGAAGCTCGTCAGTTGTTCCTCATGACCATCCGGATCCAGTCCACGTATTTGCAGACATTGGTGTAGACCCCCGGGATGCCTTTTTGCCCACAAGGCCCCACGGAACCCCAGGACACTAGACCTTGAAGGACTCCCCCACATACCAGGGGACCCCCAGAGTCACCCTGGAAGACAGAAGGAGGAGTGTTGTGTGAATAAGGGAGAAATCCTGTTCCTGTTTTCCTCCCCAACCCTGCCCATTCCTAGCTGCTTGGTGATGACACTGCCTCCAAGCCTGGTCCCGTGAGAAGAGAGCACAGCTGCGTTCCAAGAAGAAAATGGCAAGGGCCAGCCAATAGAAAAGAACACACTGTCCCCAGGGACCAATCCCAGGGAAGCTGGGGCAGAAGGTGCTTTCAGGACAGTGGCTGGGGCTCTGCCAATGAGTGAAGAGAATACTCTCTTTAATGACCAATTCCAGAGAAGGAGGGCAGAACTCCACAAGCATAGAGAGGTCCCTTAAGGACAATGACTGGAGCTCTGACAAGGAAGGGAGAGAGCATCATCACCAAGGGCCAATCCCAGAGGAGGACAGACTTCATAAGGGTTTGAAGTGCAATGACTTGGTTCCTGGCCAGTAGGGTAGAGCAGCCTCCTCTCTGGGTACCCAAGAGGTCAAGGATGCATAGTCAGGGCGTGAGACAGTCCACTGGACCCAGCCTGTCTCTGTTCCCCAATCTCTGACTCGCAACCTGGGACAGCACCAACTGAAGGATGGTATGGGGAAGACCCAGAGACAGGTCTCTGAGCTCCAAATCCTGGCTAATTCTTTGCCCTCCGCCATCCTTTTTACTTTTGTCTTTTCCTCTCCCTCTGTGGGGTTCCCTACCCCACCTTTCTTCTCTGTCTCTTCCCTCCCTCTATGCTCTTCATGCATCTCTCTCTCTCTCTCTCTCTCTCCCCCCACTCCCTCTCCCCTCCATGGCCCTCCATTGTATTCGCTGTCTCTTCCTTCCTTATTCTGAGCCTCCCTGCCTTCTCACCCCACCTCCCTCCTCTGGCCCCATTCCTTACATCAGTTCCCCTCCTTTCCCCTCTGGGTCCCTGTCCTGGATGACCATGCACCACCTGCACTTACCTGGCACGCGTCCTTCCCCTCGATGCCACCCGCACACACCATGTTGTCCGTGACTCTCCCTGGGAACACAGCCCGGCAAGTGTCATTGGAGACAATGGAGAGGTTGAGGCACTGGAGTCGGTCTGGGAATGGGTCTGAGGATGGAAGATGGGTGCTACAGAGGCCCCCCCAAACTCTCCACTTTGGTTGCCACATCCATCCAATCAAGGAAGCTCCATCCAAATCTAGTCTGTTCCCCTCCCCTGCTACAACCCTAAAACCTCTGAGTTTTAGGCTTATGGCTAGATTTTATAATGACCCTTGACCCCAGATTCTTGACCTTTATTCTTCAACCTCATTACCTTACAACCCCATCTTCACCTCGTGTCTTCCATCTTCTGACCCCATATCCTTGTTTTTACCTTAACTTTGGACCTCAGCTCTGCATCTTCCAAACCATCATTGTATTTCTTATTTTTTCCCTCCCTCCCTCCCTTCCTTCTTTTTTCCCTTCCTCCCTCCCTCCCTCCTTCCTTCCCTCCCTTCCTTTTGTGGTCAGTACTAGGGCTTGAACCCAGGGCCTTGCACTTGCTAGGCAGGTGCTCTACCACTTCAACCCATCCAGCCCTATTTGTTTTAGTCATTTTTCATATAAAGTCTCAAGTTTTTGCCCAGGCCAGTCTTGGACTGCAGTCCTCCTAACTATGCCTGCTTGAGTAGCTAGGATTTCAGGTGTGTACCACCACATCTGGCTTGTTTATTGAGATGGGGGTGGGGAGGGTCTTGCTAACTTTTTGCCTGGGCTGGCCTGGAACCTTGATCCTCCTTATCTCCACCTCCTGAGTAGCTGGGATTACAGTTGTGAACCACCATGCACAGTCCTTTAACCCTTCATTTTCTTTATCTCAACTTCAACTCTTTTGATCCTAGTTCATTTGATCCTAGATTCCATGAACCCAAGCCTCTGGCCTTGTACCCCAAACCCTACGACTTCCAGTCTCAGATATGAGATAAAATCCCATTGTAGTCCTCAACTCTTCTGGGATCATTCAACAGGAGTCCAAGACCCCTGGCCCCCAAATCCTATGTATGATGCCTTTTGCTTCTGTCTGATGACCTCTGACATCCCGACCTCTAACCATGTCCCTGACCCCTGGCTTCTGACTCCATACCCAATCCCTTAACCTTGTTGATCCCCAAGACGCAGATCTACCATGATCTCTGACCCCAAACCATGATCTTGATGCTTAACCCCATATCCTAGCCTTTACCCATTCTTCCTCTGAGATGTCATGACTTTTATTCCCACCTGGTACTGGGGGTGGAACTCAGAATCTTGTGTATGCTAGGCAAGCACTCTAATTCTTGATCCGCACCCCCAGCCCTTTTGTTTTTATTTTGTTTTTGAAGCAACATCTCATTAACTTTTTCCAGGCTGGCTTCAAACTCACAACCCTCCTTCCTCAGTGTCCTGAGTAGCTGGGCTTACAGGCATGTGCCACCACACCCAGCTGGCATCAGGACTCCTGATCTCTCACCCCAGGATTTTACCCATCCTGACCCTTGACCCCTTACTCCATGGCTGGTTGGTGGTCCCCCATCCTGAGATGTGACACTGGGTCCCAGCAGGTGCACAAGTGCTGGGCAGGGGCAGTGGTTGGACGCTGTGGGTCAGGTGGACGGATCTGCCCAACCTCAGGAGTCGGAGGTCATGCTCGTGGTTCCACAGAGAGCCCTGGTAGCTGGGGTGAGCCGTGGAGAAGGTGCTAAGCCGGATCTGCTCTGTCCAGTCCAGCCTGCTGAGGCTATGCTCCCCGAGGCGAACCCAGTACCTGCTGGGAGTGGCAGGAGATCAGCAGGTGGCAGGAGGGTGGCCAGCTCCAAAAGCCCCTTCCTCTCTGTCCTTCCATCTACAAGTCTCTGGCTCTCTCTTCTTCTTCTGCACTGGAGCACCTGAGCCTCTGTCTGATGCTCTTAGTTAGGCCCACAAGGGCAGGAACGTAATCTGCAGTGTCCTCTGTCTTATTCCCATATGAGCAAGAGTGGCCAGCATTGTTGACTAAGCCAGGGAGTGAATAGGAATGGTTTCTCCATCTTGCTTTGTCTTTCCCTGTCCCCTAGAAAGTGGCTCATTTTACAATGTGGGACCATGGAGGCCCAGAGAGATGATGCATGTCATCCCCGGGGTGGATTCAGGCCCCAACTCTAGACTAGGTCAGGAACAAACTCCACTCAAGAAAGAAAAGACACATGAGGAAATGGGAGGGGGAGGAGGCGGGTTCCAGTCCTCCCGGGTCCTCCACCTACCACACCTCGCCCCACCCAGCCCCACCTCAGACCCCTCCTGAGGAAGTTCTACTCCTCCTCTAACCTCAGACTCTCTTGTTGCAGTACTAGATTCTTACCTTTTGGCATCCTCACCCCTGAGACCTACTCAGGGGAGTGACCCCTCCCGAGCCCCATCCCAGCACTTCCTCCCTATCACCCCCTTTTGCCCATCCCGGGAAGGGGTCCACACTGGGGCTTACCTGCCACTGCAGTGCGCAGCCGTGAGAACCCACCGGGGGTCAATGAGGACACCCCCACAGCGCAGGTTGGCACCCTCAAACAGTGCCACCTGCCAAGGCTGTGAGTTACGGGCACACTCGACCCCATTAGTGATCTTCTCTCTGTCTGCCTGGCTGAGACTTGATGTAGGTGTGGAGGCTGGAGAGATGGGGGGTCAGATATAAGGCTACATAAATATCATGGGTAGGGATGGGGAGGGGGCAAGGGAGGAGAGGGGGGTAGCTAGGTAGGGGGAAGGGAAGAAGGAGGAGGAGGAGGAGGGAAACCAAAGCAGCAAAGCAGCACACAAGTCAATATATATATATAACACCAAAGAGACCCAGAGAAGAAAGAAGAGAAAGGGACACAGACTTAAAAGATAGGCAAGGACAGACACATGGACAGAAAGAGTGGAAGATGAAGTAGAACAGAGGACAGAGGATACAGGAGGCAGGTAAGCAGGACAGCAGGACCTGAGAACCAGCAGTCAGTGGAAGCACAGAGTAAGGCTCTTCCCCATCCTTAGTGTGAGACTGGGGGCCAGAGCTGAGCCCCCAGGAGATGGAGCCTCCTTATGACAGAATGGAGGGACCCAGTCCCATTGCTGCCCTCCTGCCCAGGACTCACCAAGAACACACAGGAGCAGGAGGACCCTAGGCTTCATGGTGGAACACCTCCAAGGTCTGGGGGAAAAGGTGTGGACCTCTGAAATGCCCCCTCCCCGTCCTTTCTTCCCTCTACCTGTCCCCTGCCTACCACTTCCTCATTGGCTGCCTTCTGCCCCCTTCTCACCTTGTCTCTTTGTCTGCCAGATCCTCTATTTGTCTGTCACCAGTTCAGCCTGTCTGTTTGCTATCTCTCTGTCCACCTACCTGCCTGTCCTTTCATCTGCCGGTCAGCTGTGCCACTGCTTCTGTCCAGCTGGATCCTCAGCTACCTGTTGTGCTGCCCCACCTGTCCCCTTCTTTGTGTCTGCCTGGGCTGACAAAGCTTCTCACTGTCTTTGTCTTAGCCCATGCAATTTCCAGGTGGAGGGAAAGGGATGAGGAAGGTGGGGTGGGGCATGCTCTAATCCAGCAGAAACTGTGTCCAGCTAAAGCTAATGACACTTAATTGAGCTTCACAGTTAAATGGAGTGAGAAGGAAGGAAGGAACCCAGGGTGGGAAGACCCAGCCCCACTCCCTCTTCCCCTCTCACAAACCTGCCAGCACCCTAGGGACTGATGACTCAAGGTGACAGGAGCTGGGTTCTAATCCCCACTCCAGTGAGGACCAGAGCAGGGCAGGTAGGGCCACCTGGACACTTGGGGCAGGGAGGGGCCGGGGAAGGTGAGGCTGTGAACACAGTAGAGGGGGTGAGGGGCAGGAGCTGAACAGAACTGAGAGCAGAGAAAGCCTCAGAGAGAGAAGAGGAGAGGAAGGGAGAGACTGCCAAGTGGGTGGTCCAGGAGGGACAGAGAGGGTTCCCCAACTGGGTTCTGCCGAAGTCTGATTCTAATTGAATTTCTCAAATGCTCAGTTAATTTTGAGTACTTCAGAGGGCCTCCGTGTCCCTGCTTCTTAGATATATGAAGTGTATTTATCTAACTCCATGAACATTTGTGATAGCATAAGAGCTTCTGTTGCTTATAAATGAGATTCACAGAGAGAGAGCCTGGGAAGCAGAAATGGGGGCTGGGTGGGAGGGTCGGGGAGAGAAAAAAAACAGACAGAAAAACAGATGGGGGAGAGAGACAGACGGGGAAGAGAGGGAGAGGGAGAAAGTCGGAGAAACGGACAGATGGAAGAGAGAAGAGGCAAAGACAGGCAGGGGAGAAAGAGAGAGAAGCAGAGAGACAGAGACAGACAGATGGGGTGAGAGAAGACATAGAGGAGAGGAGAGGAGAGGAGAGAGAGACAGACCAGAGAAATCTGTGCTGTTTTTTCTGAGAGCTCATCTCAGAGAGAGCAAAAGGGAGAGGGAAGAGCTAGAGAGGGGGTAAAGAGACTTGGGACAAACCTAGGGAAAGGCAGTCAGAGACGAGGAACAGCAAGAAGCAGGAGAATGAACCTCATCCTGCCGTTTTTCATCTTTCACTTTTTCCTTAAGACTTAGTCTCTACCTCTGGCTGCTTTCAGAACAGTAAAGCTTCAGCCTTTAATTTGCTCTTAGAAACCACCTAACTCTACCCCTCCTTCTTGTGGATTTTTGAGGAATCAAGTTTATTGAGGTGTAATTTATATCCAATAAAATTCACCCTTCTGCTTCAGGCGAGAGCTGCGTAGCTGGGTAGAATGCTTGCCCAGGGTTGCTGAAATTCTGACTTTCAAGAGGAGCTAGACATTTAGATTTATAGTGGGACATTCCCGTTATAAATTCCCGATTTTAAATTCCACATTCCCTGATCTAAAATTAGAAAAAGACATTATAAAACTGGGCTTACCAGAGCATAGTTCTCTCCTGTCTCTCTCTCTCTCTCTCTCTCTGCTTTACCTATCTTGGAGGTGGCGATAAAATTCACATAGCATAAAATTTAGCATTTTAGCCCATTTAAAGCCCACAATTCCACAACTTCTACTACATTCACGGTTTCACAATGGTATGTAATCTTACACTCAAAAGAAACCACATGTGACTGGGTGTGGTGGCTCATGCCTGTAATCCCAGTTATGTGGGAGCTTTTTGCTTTCAGAGGACTGAGGTTTGGGTCAGCCTGGGCAGAGTTAGCAAGACCCCATTTCAATAAGTAAGCCGGGTGTGGCAGTGCTCGCTTATCATTCCAGCTACACAGGAGTCATAGGTAGGAGGACCATCATCATAGATTAACCCCTGTCAAAAACTCAAGACCCTACCTAAAAAATGACTAAAGTAAAAAAGGGTTGGAGGTGTGGCTCAAGTAGTAGAGTGCCTTCCTAGCAAGTGAGAGGCCTTGAGTTCAAATCCCAGTGTTGCCAAAAGAAAAGAAACAAGAAACCACATAATCATTAAGTTGGTGTCTTTCAACTGATGATAAATAAAATGTGGTACATCCATTCAATGAAATATTAGACAGCTATTAAAAAATGAACTTCTGGGTTGTCTGCCACCTGAATAAACCTTAAAAATACCATGTGGGGTGAAAGGAGCCAGTTACAAAGGACTGTATATGGGATGTCTCTATTGATATGAAATTTCCAAAATATACAGTCCTTACAGATAGAAGGCAGATGTGTGGTTGCCAGGGTTGTGGGGACAGAGGAAGAGTGACTGTCTATAGTATCTCCTTTTTGGCCCCCACAATGCTAGTTTGTAGCTTCTGGACACAGCCAACCCCGTCCTTTTTCAGCTGGAGTGAGGGTCAGGAGTAACTAGCAACTACACACTTCCTCCGTGGAGCCCCCCAGAACCTCTGACCACTTCCTCCATGGCCCAGAACTCTCCAGTCTTGGGCCCCATCAGAAGCCCACACTTGAGAGAGAACTCAGCCACCTAGACACATGGTGTGAGAGCCCAGTGCACAGAGATCTCATAGATACAAAACTGAGGCACAGCTCGATGATACTCACTTGCCCAAAGTCATCCAGCTGATAAGTGGCAGATCTGGAGGCTGAACCAGGCAAGCTGGCTCCAAGTCTGTATTCTTACTCACTATCCAAATATAGGGAGGAAAAAATGAATAACTAGATCAGTAAGTGAGTGTATGCATGACAAGGTGAATGGATGAATGTTTATAGAACAAAGAGGATGCTGAAGTCACATCTCATCCCACGGTTCATTGAGGGCCATCAGGTCACTCTCTGTTCCTGACCTGAGTTTGCCCATCTGAGAAATGGGACCGGGATGCTCTGCGTTTGCACCCCTATTCTTCCTGGGACCATCAGAGGAGGCAACCACAGATGGAGGAGAATGCCAGTTAATGTTAAGTGTAGACACCATCAAAATGGCCCTCATTAGTTTATATCCTTTGGGACCTAGACACCAATTTATTATTTATTTGTTTTGCATAGTGTTGCGGATTGAACTCACAGCCTCACAGTTGCTAGGCAGGCGCTGTACCACTTGAGCCACACCCCCAGCCCTTTTGTCTTTACTTATTTTTCAGCAGGGGCTTGTGTTTCTCCTTGTGCTGGCCTGGACTGCTGTCCTCCTATTTGTGCTTCCTCGTGTAGCTGGGGTGACAGGCATGTGCCACCATGCCCTGGCTATTGAGCTAGTGAACTTTTTGCACTGGCTGGCCTCTAACTGTGATTCTCCCAATTTCTGCCTCCTTGAGCAGCTGGGATTTCAGATGTGAGCTAGCTATGGTGCTTAGCCTGGTTTATTTTTGTATAAGTAGTTTGCACAAAATATGTTATTTGCAGGTATGAAAATATCAAGATGAAGCTTATTACTTGGCATGATTAATATATGCTAAGAAAGAAGAATTTGTAAAGCTGATTGAAATGACACTTTTTCTCAGATGTGAAGAAATATCAGCTGCAACTTGGTACTGTTCTTTGTCCTGGCTCTCTCTCTGTCTCTCTCTCTCTCTATTTCTCTATCTCATTCATTTTTTATTGTGTGAATCAATTGGACAAAGGAGTTTCGTTATGATATTTACTTGAACCACCTTCCTTTTTTCCCCTCTTCCTTCATGCTGGTAGCCCTCCCCCCAAAACAAAACAAAACAAAACAAAACAAAACAAAACCCAGTCCCCTTTTACAATAATGTCATATTTTTTTTTAGATCAAGGAACCCTTGCATACTGTTGATGGGAATTTAAATTAGTGTAGCCACTGTGGAAATAAAAAAAAAACCCCTAACTATTATGCATTCATTTTGTTTGTTGTTGTTTTTTGTTGCTACCGAGGTTTGAACTCAGGACCTCATGCTTGCTAGGCAGACGCTCTACTGCTTGAGTCAATCTAACAGCCCTTTTTTGTGATAGGTTTTTTCAAGATAGGGTCTCAGGAACTATTTGCCTGGGCTGGATTCGAACCGTGATCCTCCTGATCTCTGCCTCCTGAGTAGCTAGGATCATAGTTGTAAGCCACGGGCACCTGGCCAGTCATACATTCATTCTTTATTTGAATGTCCAGAGATTTCCATGTTGCTGTGTTGGTCACCCCTCTGTCATCTTGTTAATCTCTGAGGCATTCGACATGTCTGGATGCCCCTTCCTTCTTGGAACTGGCTCCTCTCCTGGCTCTGTGATTTCCTTCCTCCTCTCCTGGCCCTCCTCCCTGACCTCCTTCCTGAAGTACTCTCATTCTCTCCACCAAAGTCTTTCAAAGCAAGGAAGTTTCCAGGGCCTGGTTCTCACTGCAGGAGCACCTGGCACTGTCACCTGCTATTCAGGGAGGGGGTTCTCAGTCCCGCTCCCTCCCAAACTTCAGGTTGGAGTACCTAACGTGCACAGAAGCAAACCCAGCCTAACTTGCTCTTTCCCCATGAGCCTCCTCTCAGAGCCCACCTTCACCATGCATGCAGGCCCTGGTCCAGATCTCTGCAAGACCAATTTCCTCTAGGACCTAGTTTCTCTCTTTGGAGACATCTTTCCAGTCACAAGCCTGAATCAACTCCCAGCCATTCCCTGCCTCTGGAATTTGTCTCCGAAATCCAGCCCTGTGCAGATGCCTGGTTCAGCACCCCATGGCGTTGTGGGGGCTCCAAGATGATGGAGCCCAAGGCCTCACATACACTAGGCAAGTGCTCCACCGCTTCA